GAACATTGTCCTTGTCAGGAAATGAGTGACTAAATGCCAGTGCAATCGATATTTATAGCTGTAGCTGCATAGTGACTGCATGTAGACGTAAGTTTGAACAATGCGAGTGATTTCGTTTTAAATACAAAAGCTTTACTGAACATATATGAATGCACATGCATCAGAGAGACTTGTTGATGAATTTTGCGGTTGCGGTTGTCACTTAAACAACTAATAAAATTCAATGACGTGGCTCTGGGCGGAAATACTTTGGGACCATAAAGAACTGACGTATTAATGATAAAAACACCGATGTCCATACTGATTTTTATTCCATTATTTATTTATTTATTTATTTATTTATTTATTTATTTATTTATTATTTTGTGGTTGCCGTGCATCATTCTGAGTAGAGCCATTTCCATTCATCCTGTACTCAGAACTCCAGCATATTTGCTTTTAATTAAAATCAAACAAGTTAGGTTTAACAGATCTGAAGTTTCCCATTGTCAAATTTCCGTGGCTGTGCACTTTGTTAAAGTTACAATAATATAAGTTCATTTATGCGTTTACATTCACGTAGTTTACTAATGGTTTGCACGTCAGCAGATATACGTTAGTGGTAGACAGGTGGGTCACTACTGGTACTTAACAGTTGAGGTGAAGGCGTTGTCACACCTAGCGTAAAGAGGTACGTATCAGTGCATGTATTGTAAGGGACGCGAGTGATATTTTAAGTTGGTTATTAACAAGTGACATTTTAAAAGTATTTGTAACGTAGAGACGGGGATAAATAGGACTGGTGGTGGGTAGAAGAGGAAAGACACTAAGGGAGCGGGCAAAAAACTGAAGAATAAATTAAAACTCTTGTTGTTTTTTTCTTCTCGATTGGCAAACCGAATATTGAACCTTACAGTACGTGATAGCTATTATACGCATAACTTTGAGCGTATGATATCACTATTTTTCCTGCATGCGAGAAAGAACGAAAGAGCAGCTTAAAAATAGTGTTTGATTATCGTACCTGAGCGTTTGGGTTCTGTATGTGTGCGTGTGAGTAACGTACATGAGCACGAGGTCCGATTTTCATACCCTAATTATGCGTTAGGTAAATGTAAACTACGTTCGGTATACGCTCGTATACGCAAAGGATATACGTTCATGTAACCCAGACGCGTTAACAAAAGATACGTTCCACACGATACAAACTTGTTAGTATTACGCTGCCTATACGCTTTTGATGCGCTGCCTACATGAACCGACCATCCCATAGTTGTTTACCTAAATTATGGTATGCTATTCGCACGCACGTAAACGCTGAAAATTTTGAGCATGTTCAAAAATTTATACCTGCTTCTGCGTACGACAAAACGCACACCATTGTTTGTCTGCATACTAGAAAAGTAGGTCTTTACGACGGAATTCCAACGAACCCATTACGCTTGTCCACGTATGAGCAGTCTATTTCTTACGTTAATGCTATTTTTTATACGTTTAGGCAAAGTTTAGTGTATACATTGGCTTTTATGCGTAATACAGTTCATTATCGGCATGAACAGCATTTAAATACGGTTCATTTTTGGGTCAAATCATATCGTCTTGACATGGGACTGCACCTGCTTCGGAATTGATGCAGTGCTTCTCTGTGGTATAAGCTCGCATCATTTCGTCTTCCCGCAGCTGGGAGCGTTGTTCCCAATAACCGTACGTGTGTCATACTCGTACGGGTATGAGAAACGCACTGTAACGTACATCATTTCAGCGTTTAAGGCGCTTCCCTAGCGTATGAGCAACGTATGGGTCACACGCTCGGTGAAAATTTCTGAACGCACATCAGCGTCTACCTGCATACGTGAAACGTACACGACGTAGGTCTGACAAAGCAAGTTTCCTTTTGTCTGCGTGTGTATGTGTGCGCGCGCGCGCCCGTGTGTGTGTGGGTGAGAGAGAGAGAGGTGTTTGTAGGGAGAGTGTTTTTCAGAATCGTTCAGGCAAAGCCATGCCAGCGTAGGAAGCTGTAGAGGGAATGAGGCGCTTTTATTCAGTTTTTCTCGCCTTATATACAATATTAATTATACCTATAGATGTGCGATCCCCAAACATTGTCTCGACACTTGAATGCACTACTGAGTGCCCATCGCCAAAATGCACCCTTCTTGACTTTCTAAAATGCATTTTCCGTCTTCAACACAAACTGTGCACGTTTAATATTATTGATGCCCTTTGATTAAACAGTAGGAGGAGTATGAATCCCTCACCTTCTTGACAGTGTACATGAGCGAATGGCAGTAAGTGCATAGAGCAGGCGAGTTATATATACAATAATACTAGGGATAACTTTTGTGTACGTTTGTGCGGCTTTTACTTGTGGATTCTTGTAAACATTTGTGTTGCCACGTTGTCTAACAGAAAACAAACTATTACTACTACAAATCAGACTAATCTGCATTGCTTCTGAGTTGAAGACAATAGTGAATGTTGGACTTTCGTCTCATAAAGCAGATAGGCACCAGACTGTATTTATAATGACCCGTAAAACACGTTCAGTTCTTGGACATTTTACTAATCCTTAATCAGAGCAAAAAACATCCTTATTTAATGTTAGTAATTGATAACAGAGTTGTATTTACTCCCTCGTGTAACAGCAAAAGATAAAAACAACTTTGTCACATAAATGCCCTCTCCCCCACCACATAAATGTGACGAAGTTGTTTTTATCTACTTCTGTTTGTGTTACTACCCCGCGTAACGGCAAAAGATAAAACAACTTCGTCACAAATATATGCCCGCATCCTCCACCGTATATGTTACGAAGTTTTTCTTTTTATCTTTTGCTGTTACGTAAGGTAAATAAGTACACTGTACTATTTGTCGTTAAGCGTTTATTGATCCAACTTTGACAATGATCGCTATCTGAAACAGAAGAGTAAATTACATAAGTTTACATAAATAGTAATCCTATATGAGGGAGTAAAAAACAACTCTGTTACAATCTTTTATATTATTTATTAACTGTTTTCTAGTTGGTTTTGGCGACGCTTTCTTTCCATATCTGTCTCTACCTCTTTCAATCTCTAGAGGCCTTCTCCTCGTTTACATAATTACTTGCGGTTATATAAGTATCGTAAAGCCTAGGTCCCAACTACGTTTTGGACGCACGGTTTTTAGGTTCCTTGCGTCCGACTAGGACGTAGCTAGATCGCACATCGCGACTATTGATCATGTCAAAAAGTTTCTACGTGCTGTTTGCGTCCTCCCCAAAGTCGCACGATGGACGTGCTCCTCACGCACGAACTCCCACGTTTTCCCCATTTTTTTGGCCGTAGACCACACGTAGCAGCCCGTACGTTCGGTTAGGACCTAGGCTTAAGAGCATGTCAATCAACTCAGTTACTCTACAAAGCACTCCCCGCTCCTTATTTATTCGCTCGTGGCTGTCAATTACTGACATTACACTTAACACGCACCTCAAATTTCTATTTCAGTCATTAGATATTTATCGCTTCCACGCGTAGTCAGGGCAAGCAATGGCGTACACGAGGACCATTGGCGTGGTAGATTACGTTGTCATGTGTGCGGTTCTACTTGTGTCCGCCTCTGTAGGGGTCATCTTCTCACGAACCGGGGGACGCCAAAAGACAACTCGAGAGTACCTGCTGGCGAACAGGGATATGGGCTTCTTGCCTGTGGCTCTGTCCATCATAGTGTCGTATATATCGGGGATTATGATTCTAGGGTAGGTACCGTAGAGTTCATAATTAAGTTTCCGTTGTATTCCGGTTTACAACGTTTAAAATATTTGAATCCCTATTTTGTAAATAGAAGTGGGTGGGCAAACAATGGACAACCATATCAAGACCGTTTAATTTCAAACGGAAAAACACACTAGCTTAGACGGAATAACACAATAGTTTAGACGAGTGAACACCTTACCATGACGCCGGTATCTGTGGTCCAGCGTTAGTGCGTAGGTTTTAATAATTAACAATCACTGAAAGTCGTTCCTAATTCTTCGTGAAAAAATTATACACTGACGTCGCGCCTTAGGTCTGCGTATTATCATTTCTACACGTTTACACACAAATATGGAAGCTACTAAGGATGCTCTTCGTTTCCTTTCTGGTAGGGTTATTATATAATAATCTTTTCGAAATAACTAATGGTAATTGCCATGAAAACACGAAAAAAGAAGTGGTGCATGTTACACGGACATTTCAAGAGTTTATAGACTCTCACTGCGGTATCCAATAGTATCCGAACAACTCTGTTAACAAGACAATTAATAAAAGACCCCGCTTCGTGTTTCCAATCAACGATTTGCCCTAGAATATATTTTCTTATAAATATAGGAGTTTATTATAACAATAAGTATAATGGCATTTGTAGTTGTTTAGCAGTTTTCAGTATTCAGTATTCAAATTTACAAATAAAATTATAGCATACTGTCTAAGCATACTTTTAGCATACTGTGTAGGCTGTGAGGGCACAATCCCTTTGAATGTGTCAGATCTACAGTCCGCTATGTTTACCTAAAAAACGAGGGGCAAAGCATATAGCCCTATCATCTTGGCCCAATATAATCTTGCTTTGAAAAGGTGAAAAATAACGGGAATTATCAATCATTAGTTTAAGCACACTCTCTCTCAATCCATGAAAAGCAAATGGCATCCGATTAGTTCGTTTATTAACACGAACAAGTACGTATAATTTCACGAAGCAGACCTCAGGCGTAAATAACTTGTTGGCCACGGGTCCCTTACAAAAATTGTATGTGCACATGCAATTTACAAACCGGGGAATTATATTTGTGATCTGTACAAGTAGCATAAATACTGCAGAACAAGTTATTTGTGAACTTGAAAATTGAAGGACTTGAAAGAGAATTTTATTTACTTTGATTTCAGATCAGTCACAGCTTTTAAGGCAAAAAAATTCACCAGCTATATATATAAACGTGTTGACAGTACCTCGTCAGTTCTCTTTTGACTTGCTGGCATTGTGAAAAGAAAAATGGCTATAAAATAAAAAAATAAATAAAATATTTATCTATCTAGTAACAAAAGTTGAAAAAGGCCTGTCTCCACTCTTCAAAATATTACATGCAGAAAATTGAGGAGAGAACAGTCTACCAGTATCAATTTTTTTCGTGTTGCGCTCCTTCAATCTCTCTCTCTCTCTCTCTCTCTCTCTCTCTCGGGTATTTTCCCCTCTTTCTGTAATATTTACTGTCTTTTGTAAATACGATCAGCGTTTAAAACGTTCACTAGTATCTCTAAAATCTGAAAATGATGACTTCAATCACTTCCATTAATCATGGTAAAATGGTACTAGTCTGTTACAGAAATGTTGAAATACACACAGTGTGATTTTGTACGTATTTTAGAGGGAAGTAAAATATTTCCAGGAAAGTCATTGGTGATACAACTGTAGAGGGTGCAAGTGAGGAGTTATATATGGTTGTCTACAAAGTAATATTCGGGGTACCCCTCATCAACATTCAACTGCAAATTGCCCCACATCACACTTATTATGCCTATGTTATTTCAACTTGTACATTTTCAAGTAGGCCTAGTTGGGTTGTTTATTTGTCTCGCTTTGAGTTTTTTTTTTCATATATCGTGATGTAACGTTCGTTACATGTGCAGAAATTGGAAAATTACCATGCCCTATTCAAAATCAAATATTTCAGTCGCATCGTTGGGATTGTATGCTAAATCATGGAATATGTGGTTCAAATACTATATGGAAATGTACAATTATAGACACGTTTTAAGAAATTTTTTTTTACTGTCCTCAACTCTAAATGTTCATTCTTATTGACCTTGGGTGTATAAACCCTATTCGTATAGCTCACTGGTACAAGCCAGGATAAGCTATTGTTTTACACGTTATTTTATTCACAGGTACACAACTGAAATATATCAGCACGGCATCCAGATAGTGATGTTTAATCTGTTTAACATCCTGGCCTACGTGATCTCTGCATTTACCTTCGTCCCCTTTATCCGGAAACTGCAGATAACGAGTTCATTTGAGGTAAAAAGGACCGCATCCACAACCAAATTTGATCCGCGGGCTTACAGATCTGCGGATCGAATGTGGCCGACCCGCTTTGTAGCCTGCCGTGTAGTCACCGCGGGGAATCTGTTCATTGTCTATTAGGGATTTGTATATAATGCGTGATGCTTTCAAGTGAGTCGGCCATATTTGACCCGCGGATCTGTTGTCAGCGGATCATCGTGTTCTGAATGCGACCAATGTCACCAAAGGTTTACAGCTGTGTTCCACTTATCCGTTTAGTACAGATAACAAGTTGTTTCGAGGTCTGATTGTCACCGAATGAGATGGGGGGGGGGGGGGGGGGGGGGNGGGGGTGGGGGGGGGGGTGGGGGGGGGGGGGAGGGGGGGCACCGCGACCCCACTGTGTCTGTGTTCAAGGATTGTTTTCATCGGAGATGGGTAGACCCTATCTCATGCGACCTAGCAATAACTTTTTACACCTAATATTGGTCTTAACTTTTAAACTAAAAACTTTGGTCTACTTCAAGAGTCCATTATATATATATCCACTGTGAGTTCTGGTGGTAAGAAACACCAGCCATGTATTTCTTGTAACAAAGCATTGTTGTAAGATTTCATATGCGTTGTCAGGATACGTATATTGGTTTCCCCTGCAAAAATTTGTCTCATTTAACACTCGCTTACGGTTCTCAATCTATTCCAGAACATAATGTTTTTCTCTTTCAATGAAAAATGTTCTTAAACTGTTCTAGGACATTTTGAAGGACTTCTAAAAAACACAATTCTTGAATTGTTACATTCATTACAGAACAACATTAGAACGTTAAAGAAACACACCAAATGTTCTAGAATGCATTGAGAATCGTAAGTGAACGTTGAATGAGACAAAATTTTGCAGGGGTTAGTCCTGCTTAACTGCTTCTACTTTCTTATTCCAGTATCTTGAGCGAAGGTACCGGTCGAAAACAGTACGCCGCCTTGGTTCTCTACTGGGGATACTGTCCGCGGTGAATATTAATAAAACAAATCATACGTATACATGTTGTGAATTCCAGAATGCTCTGTCACCAAGGAGTGCTGCTTGTGATGAGAAGTGGCAAAATGCATATTCATTTTTGGACTGGGGATTAATTAGAGAACTGTTAATCATTCTGAAAACATTATTCATTTTGTTGAGAATATGATTTGATTGTCAGTATCTAAGTACGTGCTGAATTTAATCTATCAGCACGCTTTATTTTTCGTTAAGAGTTTGCTTAAAGCTAAGAATGAAAGAGAGAGAGACAGAGAGAGAGAAGTTTTGTTGGATTTTATTAACGTCATGATGTACAAAATAAACCGCAACCTTCATTACAGACGCTGTACCTTGGAACTGCGACAAACGCCACAGCCACGGCCGTGGAGGCAGGTAAGGGTTGGCTTCATACACACGAAAGGTTCTAGTCCAAAATCTTGATCTAATGACATCATATATTGAAGTGAAGTAAAAACTGTAGTTCTTCCACCCGTGGCCTATCGATACAGACACGGCAGATCCGGTCTTCCATTTTTTCACCTATATATCGGAGATATTATCTCCCGGTTTTAATCCCAAGTGATTGCAAGTCTGAAATGTGCTACGGGGACCGTTCAGCTTTGCTCAACTTTATCTTTGTAATAGTCATTCTTCAGAAAAGAAGTTACCTTAGGTTCTTGAAGTAGTAGTACATGTAGTAGTAGTAGTAGTAGTAGTAGTACTAGAAGAATGATAATTTTATTATTAATATATGTCCACATTATGATATAGGCTAATAACTAGCAGAACAAGCATACATAATTTCATATCAACCCAAAAATAATTACAACATAAGTGCAAAAGCGTCACATTTCTTCACTTATCCTCAGAACATTATAAAAAAATTCACAAACGTCCTTTGCTGAATTTTCCAACTAAAATTGCTCGTGTATATGTTTCAGTGACCGATCTCCCAACATGGGCATCTATTGTGATAGTGTCCACAGTGTGTGTATTCTATACAACTTTGGTAAGCAGTTTTAAGCCTTATTCTGATAAACCCTTATTATCCTGATTCGGATAGACCCTTCCCACTAGCTGAATCGGTCCACATTTGCGGGAAATTGTCTCTAAGTCTGGGTTCCCATGCCTAGACCGATCCATCTGGATCGGTCTAACTCCCTGGGGAGTCTCACTAAATTGCTTTAAAGTAACTGCCTTAAATGTCTGTATGATAAAAAAATTCATGGTTATTTGATTTAACATTTTAAAATGTTAGAGTTTACATTTTGAATCACCTTTTAACTTCCTACATTGCGAAAGATTATGCAGTTCACATTGTCTTGAACCATGACTGTAGCCTATTACAGTGCATCCTCCATTTTCGCTCTTCTTTGTAGGGAGGTATAAAGGCGGTACTGTGGACCGACGTCTTCCAATTCGTCGTTATGGTGACGGCCATGCTAGCAATATTAATCAAGGTATGTCACACGATTAAAGATAGGTCTTATATATATATATATATATATATATATATATATAAATTAAACTCTTAAATGTACACTATTTGAGTTTGAAACTGTCCCAAGTCTTATTTTCTGTGCTTAACTTATGAGCATCAGTGTATATCCTGCGAAGTTTAACATGTATTTATCCTTCCCAATCCACGCCTTTCAAACGATAAAAGCCATCTGAAATGTAAAGGACGACAAGGTGATTTAACATTTCGGGAAACATTTAAAACTGAATTATTTAATTGAAATAATACCAAACATCGAATTCAAGTGTAGAGACGGGTCAATATTCCTGAGTTTGAAAAAGAAACTTTTTTCAAGGAATATTCGCATTGGCGGGAGAATTCCTTTAAGGAGCTCAGTCTTTAGACAGGACTTGAACGAAAATTTAAAATGAAACGAAATGTAAATAATAGAGAGAAAGAAGTACGGGAGGGGAATGAAACCCTAACTCCATTTCATTTTTAAAGTTCTTTAGTTAAGCGAAGACAAGAAAAACATTTTACCGCTAAACATCCCCTTGTGTATGCCTCC